TTTGATCCTCCTGCTGAAGCATCCCAAAGTACTAGGGTTACAGGCATGCACCACTACCCCTAGCTAAACAGTACTGTTTTGCATAACCAAAACCTAATAGAAATGCAGAGACAGGACAGAATTGTAGTTTCAAAATCATGTGCATGGACCTTTTTTTTTTTTTTTTTTAATAAGGTCTTGCTATGTAACCCCAGGTGGCCTTGAACTTGTGAGCTTGTGGGATGTTCCTGTCTCAGCCTCCTGGGTGCAGGGACTATAGGTGTGTGCCACTATGCCTGGCTTAAGGCAGGAGTATTGTGATTTCAAGGCCAGCCTGTACAATTTAGAAACATTGTCTCAAAAAGTAGGACTGGGAATGTAGTTCACACGAGGCCCTAACTTTTGCAAAAACAATACAGAAACATCTTAAGTTCAGAGAGGAAACCAGTTTTTTGAAAAGGTAGGGGTTGGGAGGGAAGGCCTGGATTTACACAGAGGACTGGGTTTTCCCATTGGAATCAAATGACCCCACCAAAGACTTAGCTAGGGGTGGCAGAAACCAGTGCAGGGAGCCAAAGGGAGGCGTGGCTGAGCCCTGCCTCTGAGCCTCCTCCTCACTGGCTCTTCCAGGCATTACTGCACACCCATGTTTGTCTCCCTTTCACTTGCCACCTTCTGCAGACCTGCATCCTGTGACTGCCCCACCACCTCCTTGGTGCTGCTCTGCTCAGGTGGAGCTTCAGGGCCAGGGGTTTCTAAGCTCAGTTCCTGCTCTGTCCACCTTGCTTTTTGAGCAGCCTTCCTGAGGCTGCTGTATTTATTCCTTAGTTGTTCACACATTCACTCATGCTGTTCATTCAGCAAGTGATTATGGAGTACTTGATTTATGCCAAGCGCTGTTAATGAGCAAAACTAAGAAAAGCTCCTGTCTTCATGTAGCTGACATTCTAGCAAAGAGAGGGTGATAATAAGATGAGTGCATTATGTAGGATGTTGGAAGGCAACCGCTGATAAAGAACTAAGAAGCATAAATGGCAGGGGCTGGTGGCAGTGAGGGCGTCGGTTTTAGTTCTGGTTATTACCAGATCTGGCAGCCTTTCTCCAGCCCACATCCTTCATTGTTTTTGCCCCTTTGCTGCCAACCCCTCTCAGACTTGGGCCAGACTGCACCCCATGGTTCCCTACATACTCACTTTAATTTGGTGCCTCTCCTACACCTGTGAACTTTGAGATTTCCTATTACCCTGGCCTAAATGTCATAGCTGTTGCATCCCTCTGCCTTGCCTTTGAGACGCTGCGGTGTGGCTTTGTCCCTCCGCTCCTGCCTGTGTTGTCACCCTCCTGTGGACGTGGTCTCACCAGCTCAGTCCTTAGTTCTATCAGTGCAGTATACTGTCCCAAGCAGCCTGGAGGGCGACGTATACATCTGGCTTTCTTCCACACATTAGCCCTGTGTTAGAACTGGGGACATAAACATGAATTAAATATTGGTCTTTGTCCTTAAGATGGCCACAGTCCAGTGTGGAAAAAGGCTTTCCAGAAGTTAGAAGATACCGTGGTAAGTGCTGTCTCAGGCTTGTCCTCTCCCTTCAGCGAGAAGCCTTCCCAGGCAACACATGAAAGATGGGAACCCGGGTTTCCCAGACAGCCAGAGAGAGGGCAGGGGTGCCCCAGACAGGCTTCTCCACCAATCACAGTCTGTCCCAGGAGGGCGTCACCTTCTCTTGCTTTGTATTCTCCATCTGCCTGGCAGGCCATTTGCCAAGATTAGATATTAATAAATGACACACAAATCACTGGAAGCTCAGAGAGCAGTCAAATTATGAGGCTTGACGGCTTGGATGAGGCCAGCGTTCGGAAGGCTTCACGCTGGGAAAAGAAGTCTGGCCCTGGGCCAGCCAGAAGTAAGATGAAGAAAGCCCAAGTGGGGAGACACTTTCAAGGAAGACGCTTGTCCTCTCGCTTCCTCCTCTGTCCACAGAGGTGCCACTGCCACGTGGTCTACTCCTGGGATCTGGAGATGGCCCTCAGAGGCATGTGCCTCTGTGTTGGCACTGCAGGGACACCAGCTCCCGTCACCTGCCTGCCAGTGGGGACTGGACCCATGTGTCCTCCAGGCCGTGCACTCTGTTGCCTCTTGGCTGCATTCAGGCAAAAGTGGGACATGTGTACGAGCGCAAGTGTGGAAGGCAGTTTGGGGCAGAGAGGGTCAGTGTGTTTTAAGAGAAAGAGAATTTACTTAAAAGCCAAACTCCTTGGGTTCCTTGTGCACTGAGCACTTTCTAGAACTTTTCGGGTAAAGTTAAAATTTTGAAAATGCTTCTAAGGGCCGGCCAGAGAGTTTAGTGGATTCAAACGCCTACTTAGGCAGATGCAGGGGCCTGGGTTCGATCTCTGGCTCCCTGTGCCAGTCCTACCCTCAGGGCATGCTGAGGTGGAGATTGAGACTGGGCGTGGTAGCACCTATAATCCCAGCACTTGGGAGGCTGAAAAATAGAAAGGATCACTATAAATTCAATCTGTGTAGTGAGACCCTGTACTAAATACATAAAAAAAGAAAAAAAAAAAAAACAAAACAGAAAATGCTTCAAGTTCTGAAAACTATAAGTGTAGAAAAGGCTAAAGGGAAGGAGGTCCTCATCCATCAGTGTAGCTTAAAGCATGTGACCTAGTCTCACGAACGTTCGGTTTTCTCACCGTGGAAATGGTAACGAAGATTGTATGGGAGCCTGTTGTGGGGGCATAAGTGAGTAATCCAGTGTAGTGACTTAGCCCAGAGTGACAGAGTACCCTCAAGTGGACGCCCTGACAATAGTTGGCTCTTGGCTTGCCTGACTCGGGAGTCATCACAGTACAAAGCAGCCTCGCGTCTCACATGGATGAGCACTGAGAGCAAGAGCTGGGGCTCCGACAGTTTAAGAGACGGAAGGGGCAGAGGGAATGAAGGGAACCAAAGCTAGGTCTCAGGCAGAAGAGAAGCGTCCAGCCCCAGAGATGGAGGGATCGACACCCAGGAAGAGGGACCTGGACCACATTGTCATCAAGGCTACGGTGGTGGCAAGGGGTGGGGCAGGTGCCCTGAGAGCTGCGAGGGCTGGGGCGGAGCTGGGGCATCTTCCCGTCTTCACTGGTGCTGTGTTTGTCTTCCAGGAGTAGATGTAATCAACGGGGCCCTGGAGTCAGTCCTGTCTTCCAGTAGCCGCGAGCAGTGGACCCCAAGTCATGTCAGTGTGGCCCCTGCCACCCTCACCATCTTGCACCAGCAGGTAAAGAGCTGGGGTGGAAGGCTGGTTGTGTCTTGCCATGGAGGGGAGTGTCGGGGCAAAGGGAAGAGCTCCCACTAAGGTGCATGTGCCCCAGGGGAGCACAGGGCTGGGGGTGTTCCTCACTGGGCTCCTTCCCTCCAGACAGAGGCAGTGCTGGGGGAGTGCCGGGTGCGCTTCCTCTCCTTCTTGGCTGTGGGCAGAGATGTCCACACATTTGCGTTCATCATGGCTGCTGGCCCAGCCTCCTTCTGCTGCCACATGTTCTGGTGCGAGCCCAATGCTGCCAGCCTCTCTGAGGCGGTGCAGGCTGCATGCATGGTAAGCAGGTAGGGCAGCAGGGTGGGGGCCTGGCTAGCATGGGGCAGGGTAGAAAGTGACTGGCCCATTTGCCTCCGCAGCTCCGCTACCAGAAGTGTCTGGACGCCCGCTCCCAGACCTCCACCTCCTGCCTCCCAGCACCCCCTGCGGAGTCTGTGGCCAGGCGCGTAGGGTGGACAGTGCGCAGGGGTGTCCAGTCACTATGGGGCTCCCTCAAACCCAAACGTCTGGGGGCTCAGACCCCATGAAGAAACCCCCATATACCCCCACTTGCTTGTGTAGGGCCCCAGGGAACTCAAGGGTGTGGGACAGGAAGGGGCCCTGATGCTGTTTCTAGGCCTCAGGTCCCCCAAGCTGCCCCTCAGGAGTAGAGGTTCCCTGCCCAGGGGCTGGGGGAGAGAGCTACTCCCATCATGGAAGCACTGGATTAATGACGAGGAGCAAAGAAACAAGGCCAGCCCTGGGCTCTCCATCCCCAGCACTGGAGGTGGGGCAGGAGGAACTGGTCCAGGCCAGGCTCCATCCTCATAAGGCCCAGAAGGGTCAGGAGGGTGGGACGAGTGTGGGCATGGGTCCCCTCTCCCCCACTCCGTGGGCACCTCCGCTGTACTGATATCACTAATAAAGCCTGTCTGCGCTGCCATGTGCCTACGTGTACCTGTACCACACCAGCCCCTTACCAGCCCCTACATTATGGTCTTATTGCCAAGGTGCATTTGCCCCGCTGCTTAGAAGGAAGAAACTGGAACAGTCATAGAGGGGTCTGGAGTCCAAGTCTCTTATCTTTATTTCATCAGCCTGGCAGGCCAGGTAGCAGCAGCATTGACCTCAGGAGACAGCTCCTGTCTGGCTGCTCGGGGCACTTCTGCTTCTGTTCCCCACTGTGAGAGGACAGCAGTCAAGGTCCGGGCACATACAGAGCAGCCAGGCCTTCTCCCAGATGCGGCCAGACTGGCTCCAGGAAGAAAGTTCCAGTTTTTGGGCATATCTGGGGCCCAAGATAAGATCTTGCACAGGATGTTCTTGCCACGTTGAGTGGCAGCAGCACTGGGCTTCTGCCCCTTTCCTAAGACGAGCATTCCCGACTATGGGCTCTGAGGTCCTAGCAGAATAGGGGCCTCGGTGACCAGTGCTGGACCTCTGAGAGAGACTCATTCGGCACCAGGTGGCGGCAGAGAGCAGGGCTGTTGGATCGGGCAGAGAGTTGGGCGCACAGAGTGGTAAGGCGACAGGGTGTGCCACAGGGCTCTGTGGGTGGGTGGCCTTTATGGTAGAGAAACCAGAAGGTCTGGAAGAGCTGCGTGTCATCCCGCATGCGGTACACCAGGTTGTGCCAGGCGGCCGGCAGCAAGTTGGGCAGCCCGTAGGTTTCTCGAGCCCGGTACAGGCGCTGCCAGTGTGGTGTGGCTCCAGGCGCATTGGCCTGCGTCAGGTTCAAGATGTAGGTCTCATGGTCCAGGACCACGTGGGAGCTCCCAGGGTAGCTTCCATCCACTTGGTAGACCCGGTAACCTGCAAGGAAGCAAGGCTGGCTGGAGGGAAAAGGAATGAAGGCAACTCCAGGCAGGACCACTTGTCCAGGCTGCCTCTGGCTGCCTTGACCGCCACCCCTGGGGAGAGGGGCTCTTCTACCTCACTCACCAGGGTTGAGGCCAATGTAGGTGGTGGCGCTTGGTGCCAGGAAAGCCACAGACAGAGGCCGGCTCAGAGTCTCCTCATCGTAGAAGATCTCAAACTCATCCACATGTGTGTGGCCAAAGAACTGAGCAGCCAGGGTGTTCTCATACCTGGGCAGAAGACATGAAGTAGTCAAAAGATGGGGGACAGAGGTCTGGGGGGCTTCTCTTTCTTCACCTTGTTCCTCCTAGCCTGCAGCACCACAGCGACAGTGAGATGCTCTTCAGCCCCTCTTCTGCTCCTTTACCTCCTCCTCCCTCTTACCTGGACACAATTCGGTAATAATTCCAGCTCCAGCTCTTCAGGCAGTGCCCCGGGGGGATGTGGCCGATTATATGCACCTGGGGGAAGTTAAGGGCAGTTATCAGGCTATCACAGGATGAGACAGTGGCCGTAAAGGAGGGCTTGGAAGCAAGGCCTTCTGAGGGTGACCATGAAGGAACCCACCCCCAGCGTTGTCGGAGCACCAAGAAATGAAGCTTCTCTGCTCCCAGTGCTCCAGTCTGGAAGCAGGCTGCTTCTCCCTGAGCCCTGCAGCACCCACTCTCCCAGGTTCCCACCACTGGCCCTCACTTTGTCTCCTCGGTCCTCAGCAGCCTGAAGCTCCCCTACGAGCCACTGGAGCTGTCCAGCAGGGTCTGTGGAGTTGATCAAGAGCCAGAAGTTCTCACGGGAACAGAAATTCATATTGAGAGAGATGAGGCGGAGGCCAGGGCGAGGGGAAAGGGCATAGAATCCCCCAGTTCTGAAACAAAGTGACGTAGGTAGGGAGGTCAGCAGTGGTTTGTGATCCTGGCCCTGCATGTCCAGTCCTGTGCTAGGCAGACATACATGATGTCATCACATTTGAGGAGCTCATGTTCTAGCTAAAGCCCAAACAGCACTAATTATGGGGCCTGTAAAGCAGAGAAGAGTGGCTTAAAGGGTTGAAGGCTCCAAGAGCTTGGGGGAGGGGTCAAAGTGAGCTAGAGGCAGAAGCAGAGGCCTTTCTGAGGGAGGATGACCTGGGCTGGGGAAAGAGGGGAAAGAGGGGAAAGAGGGGGGAATTGCTTTAGAGGCCACCAGCAACATATGGAGTGAGGAGGTTATGCTGCCAGCTGTGTGAAAGAGGACCACTGGAGATAAGATAAGGGTTACAAGGAAGGTGGAGTCAGACCAGAGGAGCTGAGGACTGGCTCTGGAGTCAGACAGCATGCAAGTTCCCTGCCTCTGCCTTCAGCCACCCTTCTGTTCCCTTGAGTTTCCAAGAACTTTTAATGAAATACCTGAGGGTGTGAAGGGCTTCCGCAGGCAACCAGGGCTTCCAGGTCTGGGCCATGGCCTCATAGAGCCAGTTTGAGGACTGGTTGCCCCGAATGAAGGGGGGAGGGAAGCTGTTGACAGGAGTGCTCTCATGGTTGCCCACAGCAGGGTAGACAGGCACAGGCCCCAGGAACTTCCTCACGAGGTCGGTGATGGTGCTCAGGGCCCGCAGCTGATCCTTGCGGGACTGCTGCCAGACGTCATGGGCAGGGATGTCCCCTGTCCAGTACACCATATCAAAAGGGCCTGCTGCGCCCAACCCGCTCAGCATGCTTTCCAGGGTGCGCAGTGGCAGGTCACACTTGCTATACTCGCCCCAGTATCCAGCCCCTGGCTTCGAGGTAGGGGGCTGGCCAGACCCCCGGCGGCAGCATAGCGGGTCCACACAGTTAGGATCTGTGCCCTCCAAGTAGTCATGGTCCCAGTGTAGGTCAGTGAGGAAGAGGATACGGCTGACAGGGGCACCTGGGAGAGGTGGGCTGGGTGGCTTAGGGGGTGGCTTCGGCACTGCTGGTAAAGAGATATTCCACGAGGAGAAAACGTCCCAGTGCCCACAGGTGGAGCCCAGGAGCAAGCCACAGGCCTCAGAGGGGCTGAGCACGGAGCGTGTCCACACGTCCACCATGTCCTTCTCAAAGAGTCGCACAGCGGACTGGCACACGTGGGGGGGCGCTATCTTCAGCAGCTTGCAGATGGAGGTGGCCATCGAGCCCAGCCGCTCCACGTTGGGCTCCTTCTGTGGTGGGAGGCACCAGAGAGGGATCAGAGACACAGGGGCTGGGCCACACCTGCAGCCACCCCTGGGCCTCCCTTCACCAATAGGGCTGGGCTGGAAGCCGTGCCACCCTGGATGAAGAGACAGGAGAGCCTCCTACCCAGGGCCCTGTGACTCAGGAGGCACCGACGTCCTTCACTTCCTCTTTAACTCTGTGACCAGCTCAGGAAGATAGCTTTCTCAGGCACTGTCTGACCTTTCTTTCCACTCACTTTGCAAAGGTCACAGTGGGTGGCGGTGGCATCTGGGGTATCCCCAAAGAGAAGCAAACTCCCCACAAAACGCATCCTATATGCGCCAACCCCAGCGCCCCCCACAGCTCACAGCTGCTCACCTTCAGCCCGAAGTCGATGGCGGTGAACAGGCCTTTGCAGACGGGGCAGGAAAGGTTCCACCATCCGAAAGCCCCCTGCAGCTGGGGCACAGCGCCACTGAACTTGGCAGGGTAGCTTTGGGCAGGAAGAGGATGAGCTCCGGCAGGGGCCCAGAACCCCATGGAGTCGGGCAGGACCAGCACCAGCGTTAGGCCCAGGCCGACCCACAGGCTCAGGCCAGGGTTCCCCGGGGGTCTCTTCCGTCCCTGCTCCCAGCCGGGCCCACTGTGGCCGTGGGCCGGCGACAGTTCGCGGCGGTGCATCTCCAGGCTCCCCGGACACAGCCGGTCCGCCTCCGGCCCGCACCGGGAAGGGCCCTGGCTGGGCCTCAGGGCCCGGGGCGCTGGGGACACAAAGTCCCCTCCGCGGCACTCGCTTAGCGCCGGCTCGCCGTCACCGAAGGCAGCTCCGCCCCTTCCTGTGGGTCTGGCCGACAGCTGATCGGGCGCGGCCCGCGTCTTGTCAGCTCCGCGCGGGTCCCGCCCCGGTCCCGCCCACCTGCGGTGATAGTGCGGGCAGGGCGTCGCCTGGTCGCCCGGGACACAGGAGGGGCAGCGGGCGAGGGGGAGCCGGAGGAGGCCCGGCTTTCCTGCGCCGCCTCCGCCCCGGGCGCCGCACCCTTGGGTGGCCCGAGCCGGACGCCTTGAGTCGCCTTTGACTGACTTCTGCGAAGGGAAGGGGCGGGGCTCCCTGGGGACGGCCCGAGGAGGGGAGCGGGGGCTCGGGCTGGGGCCGCGGCGGGAGGCCGAGCCGGCTGGCCTTGGGGCTCCCCGCCTCGGGCGGCCGCCCGGGTGGAAGCCGCCGTTACTGGGGTTTGCTTTTTGTTGTCTCTTTCAGCACTGGGTGTCGAGCCCAGAGCCTTCACGCTGAGCTCCACCCAGCCCTTTTTGTTTATTGTTTTATCACGAGACTGTCAGCTAAGTCGCTAAATGGCCCGGGTTGGGCAAACATTACAATCCTTAGCCTTCCAGAGTGTGTGGGTTACAGGACTGCGATCGCAGGGTGCTGCCTCTTTTTTTTTTTTAATACCCGGAGCCAGGATCTGTCTGTACTTCAGGCTGGCTTGGCCTTGCCCTAACTCGGGAGCCCAGGCTGGCCTCAGGGTTGGGACTATCTGCCTGCGTTCAGGGCCCTACACCTCTCCTGAAGAGGGTATTTATATTAACTTTAAGAAGGTATTTATGTTTATAACAAAATTTATGGCTTTCCTCAATTCTCACTAGTTTCTTTTTCTTTTCTTTCCTTCTTCTTTCTTTCTTTTTGTGGTACCGGGGATTGAACTCAGGACCCTACGCTTGCCAGGGAAGCACTTATTCCACTGAGCCATCTCCCGGACCCCCT